TAATAATAAATAATAAATTAAAGTAAATAAAAAGTATAAGGAAAGCATCATTTTTAAAAATTATTTTCAAGAGTAAATGAAGAAACCTGTGAAGATCACTGACACATGAGAGCAAGGCCAGGGAACAAAGTTGTTACAAAGTCTTTTAGGCACTGGGATAGAAAGAAGCTTGGATTGGGGTGTGGAGCTAGGAGAGGGAGCTGTCAGTTCTCTTTGGAGAACCAGGAAGGTCTTCCCTAACAAATGGTAATGGTTTATCTCAAAAAAAAAAGAAATGTGTGGCTTGGCTGGTGTGGCTCAGTGGGTGAGCATCGGCCCAGGAACCTACTGAAGTTAGTGAGCTCTTGAGGGCAGCAATTTTGTCATTAATCTTTGGATCCCCTGGGCCTGCCACAGCACCTGGCATAATAGTGGCACTCAATACATATTAATGGTTCAACCATTGATTAGGGACACGGTAGGAAATTCTGTCAGATAAACAAGTCACATTCTGGCAGCTTAGGGAGTGTGGACTTAGGGAAGGAAGCACTGCAATGAAAGAAACGGGTAGACATAAGTGATGTCATGTTGGAAGAAGCAACAGGTCTCAGAGACTGATGGGATGTGAGGACTGAGCGTGGCTGGAAGATGAGCTCTCCCCCAATACAACCGAAATCTACTCAACTCCTCACATTCAAACTGCAGGGTTTTTCACAATGAAACCAAATTTGGAGGGAAAGATTCCAGGCTGGATTTACAAACTAACATCTAATTAAAACAAGCAACCATGGACTTTTGAAGCAGCGACTATACATTATTTTTGGAGAAGTAAGCATCACTACAGGCATTCTCCAGTTTGTAAATTTCCGGCTTCTGAATGTTTGGATGTGGCCCCACAGAGGAAATTCTTGGGAGGCAGCTAGGTGTGTGTGCAAAGCTTAGGTCTCGACAACTGGCAGGCCTGGGTTTAAGGCCTTCCTCACCCCCTCACTAGCTATGCAAACTCTCAGAGAAACCTGAAACTGTATTACCTATGAGTTAGTGATGAAAATAGTAGAATTATGTAAAGATTAAATGAGATCATGTAAACTGGGTGCTTCATAATTGATAGTTCCGCTTCCCTGTGCTGCCCTTCTTTTCTTATTCTCTAGGATCCACTGAAGTACCCCAACTTCCAACACAGTTCTAGCCAAAACATACTTTTATTTATAGTGACTGCCCCAGAAAGGTTGTGTTTATAATCGAGTACTCCATTGTCTTTTATTCTGTGCCAGCTTCCAGGCCCACTCAATTTCTTTCCATCTCCCTGGTGCTCATCTCCAAATATGGTTTCGCCAGCAAATTTCCAAGTATCCTGTTATTCAGTCTTTGAAAAGATTATTAATGAAGATGTTAAATCAGGCTGACATAAATAACAATGCTTAAAGCAATCCTCCGGACACTTTTGTTCTACTCATCAGAGATATGGTGTCATTTATCATTAGGTCTTGTTACAGTTTTCCAGCCCCTTAAAAACTCACACGAAGACACTCATTTCACTTGAATTAATCTTGCAAGTGACCGCTCATGAGTTACGGAATTATATGTCACCACAAGATAGAACATCTGTTACATCACACTAACCTATCACTTTCTTCCCTCATAAATCTTGACGGTCAAAACAAATTAGTCTAGCATGTTATTTCTAATAAACAGTCTCTTTTGTTGTGTGTGGCTCATGCCCAAAAGGAGATAATGGACCAGTTGATAAAAGTAACAAAATCTCATCACCGGTTCCAACATAGTCAAGTGATAAATAACGAATAATGACTCTTTGGCAAGGAGAGGAATGAATAGCAATAAAAGAGCCCATACAGAAGGTCAGTATCAGACTGTGCCTCATGGAACTAAATTCTACAGAGTCCCGGAGAGAAATTGCTGTCTGGGTTCAGAACCAAATATAGTGGCAGTTTTCTTGAACTTGCTTTTTCCTAATAGATCCTTGGTTGTGTTACTCACAGAGGTTCTCTTTTCTCACTTCCTGAAAAAGTTGAGCATTATATGGGTGGCTCTGTTATAGCAGCGGGAGGCATAATGATGGAATATTTTCCTCTCTCTCTCCATTTAGTCTCCATGTTGTTTAATTTGCTTCTTTTCCCTCAACTTTTCATTTCATTGTGGCACAATAACACAATATAAAATTTGCCATGTTAACTGTCTTAAGTGTGCATTTACATTGCTGTGCAGTCGCCACCACCATCCCTCTCTAGAATTCTTTATATCTTGCAAAACTGAAGCTGTGCACCCATTAAATAAAAACTCCCTATTCCCCCAGGCCCTGGAACCACCATTCTTTCTATCTTCACGAATGTAACTACTCTAAGTACCTCATAGAAGCAGAATCATGTAATTTCTCCTCACTTTTAATGAATGCTATCTTCCTGTACTTTTTCTAAGTTTTATAACCCCCACTTGAAACAAAATGGAGAATGAATAAATAAACAAATAAGGAAATAGAGCAAAATTATTTCCAAGGAGCTAGATGAGTCCCATTCTACATGTATACATATCAAGTCAGTAGTAAGGCCATAATGTTTGCTAACTAGAATTAAACACTGGATTGTAAGAAATATTCATTATTTCAATAGTTAATGTTCAGACAAGCAGCATATTTAAGATAACAGTGGGGTCAAAGGAGAGACTGAACATAGTAAAAGTTCCTACAAGGAAAGAAATATCAAGATAATGGAACAAGGAAGCAATTGTAGATTCAAACTGAGAACTAATGGGCTAAGTGCCAAAACACTAGGTCATAAAGATTACGGACAGAGCTTTCCCTATCGCAGTGGTTCGCAAACTTTAGTGTACATAGAAATTAATCAGTACAAACCCACCTAACCAAAACTGTATTGATTGGGCCTCAGGAGTCGGAGTATGTCATCAGCTTCCCAGGTGGTTTATGGAGAAGGTTTCTTATGCGTGTTGAGAAACAATGGAGAGTGTAGTAGATCAGAGAGACTGTGAGGCCTGCCTCTATTTGGTTGAGTCGTATAATCTTGGTGTATCTTATGCACATAGCCCCATGGTATCCATTACTACCTATTTGTATCTGCTTCACTTTCTTTCTTCTACATTGAGTGTTGCCTGACCAAACTAGCAAAAACCGTGGCTGAAGCAGGAGTGAATGACACTAGAAATAGACCTTCATTCAGTCCTCCACTATAGGGCCAGCAAGGGTCACTATCCTGTCATCCGTGTAGCCTTGAGAATAGGCCCTATGATTGTTTTATTTTGCGTTGCTTTTTCAGTCTGCCTCTTTGTCATCAAAGAGGGGAAATGCTGGCCTCAGGGAAGCTGTGTTCAGCATGAACGATCAGTACGTAGCTTCTCTCTCGTTTACAGCTTTAATTTTCTCTCTAGAATATGTCTGTGCTGGAGAATCACCACTGGCGATCTACAATTGGCATGCTTCGAGAATCCAGGCTTCTTGCTCACTTGCCAAAGGAAATGACGTAAGTAGTGCAGAGATGAAACACACTGATGTCCACACATAAGAGATAAGCCGCTTTCTCTAGGGCACACTTGAGACCCCCTGGGTTAATGGTAGGGAGCCAGCTCGCTGTGCTTCCTGCCTGCACTCTGCATTGTCCATCAGAGGAGATTCATGTCAGTTACGGCAACCCAGAAACCAGAATCTCTCTGTGAGCTTTGAAAGGGCCTTGGATCGTCTATGACCTAACGTCAGGAAAAGGAGAATAAACAGCTCTCCCCTTTCACACTCTTCAGCATCAACACTCTGCTTTGCCAAATTCCTGTCTTTTATGTTAACAAAATTGTCCTCCTGTGTAGACCCAAATAATAAATATTTATCAAAAAAGAACACAGGAGTTCTCAAGCTAGCTTTAAGACTAGTTCAATGACGTTTGTTTCATAATTGCCAGTCTCAGCGAAAATAAAAGTCAGAAATTTTTTTCTAAAATGCTTTTTGTTAAGTAACTGAGTTGGCCCCAGCAATTTTTTCTCCATCAATTTACGTAGGTCTATGGTATTTTAAACAGAACGGGAAATACTAGTTTCCTGGTCTGCTGTTTGTTAGCCCGAGTAATTAGGCCTAGTCATACTAAATCCAAGGCCAAGGCCCTTGCCTCGCTGAATGCATGGCCCCAAGGTAGCTGCTGTACTGTCTACCTAGGCCAGCACAAATTCTGATCTGTGAAATTAAAATGCACAGAACCCGAGGTAGCTAAGAGAGAAGTAAATAAATAGACCTCTGTACCCTTCTTTCTGAAGGGCACACAGCTTAAGGTCAGGTTATGTCTCCCCATAAAACAGGCACTATGCTCTGGGCTCCTTGGTTTATTCCTGGCCATCTGATATTATCTCATGCTGTTTCCTAGCACCCGGAGGAATGTTGAATTTGCAGGAAGAATTTCAGTTCTGATAACTTTTTACTCCCAGAAACTAAAAAGCAATCCTCATGCATGAGATCAAAACTTGTGCCTTTTACTAAAACAATGCATTGCAAAGATCAAGGAAATGCAAAAAGAACTAAGAACTAGAACAAGAAATCATGTAAAAAGGAGATGAAATAGGAGGTTAGTGGCAGGATCAGCTAAAGAAAGAAAGGAGAATGGAGGGAAGGAGAATGAGGACAGGAAAAAAACAAAACAAAAGGAAAAACAGAGGACTTGTCCCGATAATGCCCACATTAATTCTCCGTGTTTCTCAGTTCATATTCATTTCCTAAGACACTCCTACTCATCCCTATGGATTCCAAATAAAAGTACCACATTTTTTTATTTCTTTGTGGAATGTCTTTGCTTTTGCTAAAAGAATCATTGGTATGCAACAATATATGTGATAGGGCTTTATAATGAAATTTATCATCATCATAATCATGATTATTCCTTCTATCCTCGTGTAAATGCTTTAAAATAATTTTTCTGTTTTTAAAAGTAAAGGTTAACTGTACAAACTAAGGAAAGTTCAGAAAAGAATTAGCTTAACCATAAATTTAAAAACTTATAGATTAAGCTACACTAAAAATTAAAACTTCATTTTACCAAAAGACATCATTTTTAAAAAGTAGAAAGACAGGCCATTTTATGGAAGAAAATATTTGCAACACATAATTGCCAAATGACTTTTATTGAAAAAATATTTTAAAACTCTCAGAATCAGCAAGCAAAAGGGAGACAACACTATAGAATAACAGAAACTTCACAAAAGAAGAAATATCAATGGCAAATAAACACATGAAAATATGTCCTACCTCATTAGTAATCAAGAAAATTCATATTAAAACTATAGGAGTTGCATGACAACTCTCAGATTGACACTTCTGTTTTATTTTCTCTATACCATTTTTTACTAATATATTGCTTGCCCATCGATTTTTAATGGTGCCTTAATCAACCACTATCATTTTTAAGTTCCAGTATCTCTTTCCAGCCTACCTGGGTTTTTTTCCATTTATCAATCTTTCCATCCCACAGTATCAGTCACTACTATGTCTTCATTATTATTACTGTTATTATGCTCTTCTTTCCCCATTAAAATCTTAATATTTGAGCTTGTTTCAACTCTATAAAAGCACAACCCAAACTCCTATGATTCTCTGAGTCCTTTTGTCCTCCATAAAGCATACATTTCTACTTCGCTTTCAATTTTTCCACCCATGGGAACCGTGGGAATGTAAAAACTACCACAACTTTGTTCACCCGAGGTTTCAATCACTCTCTACAGTTCTTGGTCTGAGGGCAGAAGCCATGGTGGGTGAGAAATTCACTCTTGCTCTGTGAGGGACTGGAACTTTGTGTAATAAACAATATCAAAGGCAGGAATGAGATTGCAAGCCACCTGTTGATGACAGAATCAATCACCCTCCTCAAAAGGATTTTCTCTCTGTGTGTGTTTTCTCTTTCATTCTTGTGGATGCAGACAGGATATTGAACAGCAACTGGGCTCCTTGATCTTGGCAACAGACATCAACAGGCAGAATGAATTTTTGACCAGATTGAAAGCTCACCTCCAAAATAAAGACTTAAGACTGGAGGATGTACACGACAGGCACTTTCTGCTTCAGGTAAACAACAACAACAAAGCCATTATTCTTGCTGGAGTAACAACACATAGGGACACGATCAATAATGTTAGCACATTTGAGAAGGAGTATCTCCCATGGTATAAGTTAGAGCAGTGACCTACTTTATGAAAAGCTTTGAGACACATGAAATTTTTAAGTGGTTTCCAAGCAAGCAAAATCTGGGTTTCGTGTCAGTAAGTTGATAATATCTCACTCTTCCTTGTTTGGTAACTGCTTCACCACAAAGTAGCCACCCCTCTGGGCAGTTGCACACAGTCAGAATCTACCACATCTTGTTGCTTGATGTAAAATTGGCCACTGTGATACCTGTGCAGTTTTAAAAGGCTGTTTCTATAACACAAAAGTATATTATGTTAACTATGGTACAAATAAAAAATTAAGAAGCAAGTAACCTTCCTTTACCTAAAACCTATTTAATCAAACCCTGCTTTACTTAAAGTCATCACTACCTAAAGTCATATTTTCATCTGAGGCTCAAACATTTTCTCTCTGTGTGTTTATCTAGTCTTAGCATTTTTAGGCACCAATAATTAAATTGTTTCAACTGAATTAATTAAACCATATCAAACCCAACCCTTTCTGTGTCATTCTATGGCAAGAAGCCACTTGCAACATGAGAAAAAGAGGAGGAGTGGACGCCAGAAGTAGAACTCTGAGTTGGTATCAAACCAGCGCCTTCTTGATCTTCCATTTTCTTTTGTCTTCCTTTTGGCACAAAAGACTGAATGGATGGACCCTGGACTCATCTGAATAGACCAACTTTAACCAGGGAGATGGAGCTGCAGGGGGCAGACTGAACTGTGCAGTCTTTTCTGCTCCATGCCTCCATGCTGCCCCCTAGCTGTTCAAAGTGCCCCATCCTTCCCAGGAAATGCTCTCCTGCAGCCCTGTATCTTCTTCCTTCCTCTTCCCAAATTAGTCTTCTCTTCCCTGAGTGCCACAAAGATCAACCAGGGTCTGATTTTAGAGACTCAAACCAAGTTGTGAGTAGATGAAAGATTTGGCCTGAGCACTTGCATTTCAAAGGGAAAGCTAGCTAACACAAATAAATCCCTAAAGGGCAGAATTTGGAGGGGACTTCTGCCCCTTACCTACTCCAACATGTACTGGTGCCCCCATTAGCCAGGAAATAGAGAAGCAACCAAATTTGCAACTTAATATAACCCAGGCTCTCCCAGACTCCAGCACTGTTAGCAGCTCTATAATCCCAGGGAACTGGGTCAAAACAAGCAGACCTTGCTGGTGGGCAAGACATACCACAGGAGCCCATCTGGGCTGTGGTCTCTCTGCAGCTGGTGGTAAGGGGCAGAATCTACTTCTCTGGGAACTCAAGGTAATCCTCCTAGGATCAGCATCACTGAGAAAGTGACATCCCAGATCCAGGCCAGTTTGAGGCAAGCCAAGAGGCCTTGATTTAGTTCTGCAAATAAAACACTCCTAGCTTGATATGACCTAGCTCCCTGGCTGACAGTCTGAGCTTGTTCACACACACAGACACGGGAACATAAATGCAAACACACATCATTTAAGTGATGTATGTGGTTGGCCATTTTGGCCACTGTGAGAGTGAGGTCCAAATGATCTCACTTGAGCCTGGCTGGGGCCCCAGTGGCCTCCCTCCCTGTGAGAGGTGGGGCAGCAGAAGGAACCAGGCCCTGGCTTTCCTTGGCCAGCACACCCCAAGTCTCCTCCAGAAAGCTCCGTGTCCTTGGACGGTGGCTCTTCTCTCCTTCTCACTGCTATAAAGTGGGAATTCTGAATGAAGGGTTTGTGTGTGGTGAAGAAGTGTTGTTTCCTGAAGAGACACGTCAGGGAGGCCCTGTGTGGACATGGGCCTGGCACCACGAGGCACTCTGGCGGGTTGGACAGCCCCTTGGGCTTGGGATGCATTTGCTGCTGAAAGATCACTCTCTGACAGTCTCTGCCTGCCCTGTCACTTCTCAGATTGCCTTGAAGTGTGCTGACATTTGCAACCCCTGCAGAATCTGGGAGATGAGCAAGCAGTGGAGTGAAAGGGTCTGTGAAGAGTTCTACAGGCAAGGTTAGTTGCAAGCCTACAGCTGCGTTTTCACGGCCCCTCCTCCTTTCAGGCATTTGTCCTAATAAAACAGGAAGTGGCTAATCTATCATGACATTTGTTCTTTCATCAACGCTTATTATCCTAACCTTTCTCTAACTCTCTTGCGAACCATCCATTCCTTTTTTGGAAATAATTTCAAAATAAATAACATTGACTTATTACAGAAACAGGTAGTAATGAGGTGCAATAAAAGCGAGTGAGAACGGAATATATATTTTTTTAATGGTTTCCCTCTGTGGATATAAAAATGTGAGGGACAGTTTGATTTTTACCCTGACCTTCATTTTAATGAGCTGAGCACAGCCTAAAAGCTAAATGCCGTCTGCGGTCAATGTTTTCCACTCTGACAGAAGGCCTTCACTCCTTTTGTGTTCCTTCCCCTCACTTTCTCAAATAAAGCTAATAATGAAATAGAACATCGCTGACCAAGAATTAATTTCATCCTCTCACATAGATACATGAAAAGTCAAATGGCCCCAAGTTAGGGTATAATGTTTAAGAGATCAATCTCATTCGGAAATAAGGCACTGAATTTGAGCAGGATCTTGCCATCGGGTGGGATATCAGCCTTTACACACAGTCTTGCTTCTCCTGGCCTGGTTTCAGTGCTCAGGATGTTTGTTCAGGCACAACAGTGCCCTGATGTTAGTGACGGGATCAGGTGCGAGAGGCTGAGAACAAATAAAGCCTGAAGTGTCCCACATACCAACTCTGGGGGAGGTCAAGTAGCAACAGTGAGCCTTTTGGAGAAGCCTCCATCTAAAGATGTGTCCGTGACATTGTAATGGCCCCAAAGACAGAAGACAAAGCAGAATGGATTAGGTTGTGTGGGGCCAAAAGACTCTGCTCACCGCCTCTTTCTCTCAGAGGAAAAGTGTTCACGTGGCTCCCACAATCTGTGTCATTTCACGGCAGTTGGGTGTAAGTGGTTACAAATCAAAAGGTCAGTTCTAGTTGCCCGTGATATAAAATCTCCACTGAGGGAAAAACAAAGGAAAATAGGATGAAATTGGAGCAGAGAGGTTTCAGATTTGATATGATACTTCCTTTACTGTGGGATATAGAAAATATTGGAATAGCATAGTGAGAGGAGGGCTAGGTTCTTCGTTCTTGGAAATCAAACAATGGAAAAGAGAAGAGATTCCACTCTGTCCCTCTTGGTTTTGACTCAATCATGTGCTCCCGTTGGCATGTATTGCAGTTTAACCCCTTCCTTTGCTTAGCTTGCACCCTTATTTGGACTATGAGCAACTCGGGGACCATGTCACCTGGACAGATTGTAAAGTCCACACAGTTGGTGCATCAAAGTTGTTGTCTAAGGGCAGAGTAAATAGGACCAACCAAGAAAAATAATCTGTAAGATCTCTGCCAAAAACTGGTTGTTGTTCTCAGAGTATATGCACGCGCAGCCTCATAAGAGGAACAACCTAGAACATCTGTTACTCTGATCACTAAAGGTGAGCTTCCACGCCCTTTGCTCTGGCATGTCTCCTGGCAGAGAGAGAAGGTAGAGAGGGCATATTGGGTCCTTGTTATTTAATTGCATGTTGGTCTAGCAGAAGTTCAGCCAGTTTAAGAAAAGAAAGCAAACTCTTGCCATCCAAACTACACATCCTCCATATTGAATTGATATTTTAAAAATTCTTTATCATTTTGATTAGTCCTATCTGGCTTTCAGTTTAGGATTTGGGCTTCCACAGACTGCTAATAGTCCCATCCAAAGTATCTTTAATAACTCGTGATGTTGAGCAAAGGACAGAGAGAAAGGAAGATGAAATTAGGAAAACAGTGTTAAATTCTGAGAATGGGGGTTAGGATTCTACCCCTTCTCTTAATGCCTTAAAGAAATAGAATCTCTGTCCTGTTGGAAGTACAGATTAGTGTCTTCTCAATCAACCAGATTAGAGTTAGGCAGAGTGAAAGGAGTGGGGGAAAGGCAAGAGAAGAATAAACAGGATTTGATGCCTCAATGTGGAGGGTGAAGGAAAGGGAAAAATCAAAGACGATTCGTCCAAAGTGTCAAGATTGGTTGAAAAACCACTATTAACAGAAACAGGAAAGTAAGCAGTAGAATTGGCTTTAGGGGAATTGAATTCAGTATCGAACAGTGGCACGCCCTGTCCTCAGAAGGCTATTGTCATCCGGCTTCCCTGAGCTCCTCAGGTTAAGCCAGAATGATTGCCTCACATCGTTCTTGAGAATCGCCAGGGCACAGACACCAGGGGAGGCACAGCTACAGCCTTAGAGAAAATGAAGGAAATGTGGCATCTCTGAGGTCCTGCCTCAGTGGTGAAGTGCAGACACTCTGGAGCCTGACTTCCTAGGTTGGAACCCAGGCTCCCCTCTTTACTAACAGTGTGACCTCGGTCAACATACTTCCTTTCCCTGCATCTCAATTTCTTTATCTGTCAAATGGGGATTATCAAGAGGTGGTTATAAGGATTTAAATAATTAGTTAATTGTAAGTAATTAATTACATAGGTAAAATAATTAAGTTAATTACGTAGGTAAAATGTTTAGGGCAGTGCCTGGCACACTGTGAGTGAGCACGTATAAATGTTGTGTTTTTAGCTCCTCTAGTTTGGAGGGGCACATTCATACCTGTTAACCCAGCTAATCTCTGAGGACCAGCTTATCTACTACTTAACCAGATTGTTTTTCCCAATGCAGCAATTACCCACAATTTTTCACCCTCAGGAAGAACCAATAAAAGTATTTTGATAAAGCTTTGCATGAAGCATTTCTCCTTTGGTTTTCTAGCTGACATAGGGATTAAAAAGAACTATCATTCTGACCTTTATACTTTTTTAAACCTTCAGTTATATTAGGTAAAAGTCTAAGGAATGAGAATGAAAGATATCAGACCCTTATTTCTGATAAATGTTGTAGCTGCACACTGAGATGCTCTTCAAATGAGACCTCCTGGTTCCTGGCCTCCATTTCCTACCTACTTACCATTTCTGGTTTTTCAGGTGAAACCAGACGAGGGTCAGGGAGAGTGAAAGATGGGGGAGAAGCATAAAATCTGTTTCCTTAGCCTGTAACTTAAAGCCAGAACTTGCATTTCAGGTTAGGAATGCCCACTAGTCGTGTCCTTGTTTTTATAGAGCTTGTTCGAAAGTTTATTTTTGTCCCAGAGCACAGCTATTTACAACAAGCCTGTTATAAATGGCCATTGACACTCTGATATTTTAAATTTTCACAGAAGCTACCAGAGCAAGACAGGGCAAATGGAAGCAAAAGGCTTCCTAAGGATAACAAGGCAGAGAACAGTAATTCACAGAATCACTTTTTCCAAATAGGCTGATAAAACTATCAACACTCATTTGCATAAGTTCTAGATTACCAACGTGTTTCTTCTTTCTTCTTAGGTGACCTTGAACAGAAATTCGAACTGGAAATCAGTCCTCTCTGTAACCAACAGAAAGATTCCATCCCTAGCATACAAATTGGTGAGTTGAATTCAATTTTAATTTTAAAGGAATATTTTCGGCACCTCTGCCCAGAATCACAAAGAAAAGACGATCTACACACCATGTTTGAAAGGCCCAAACTAGAGCTTTAATCAATGCCCCCCGTGAATGACTGAGTCCGAATAAACACCGTAATCATGACTAATCTACTGGGTAATTACCAATTGAGAAGTAATGAAAACTTGGGTAAAGGCTTTATGATAAACCCTTAACTAACCTTTATTAACTTCATTAACTAACCTTTACTAACTTCATATTTCAGAATTAAATCAAAACCAAATAGAGTAGAAGGAACGTAATAAGAATCAACTATTTGCTGCTGAAGAGCAGATTAGTCCACATTCTCTTTAGGACTTAAAGGGTGGGAAGCCAGCAGAATCGGCCTTTAGGACCATCCCAATTTGGATAACTGTCACTCGTCCCCAGCATTCAACCTCCAGAGGCCAGGCCCAGATCCATCCGGGCCCTGCCAGCCATGCTATGCCTTGTGGCCAGGGTTTCTGTGCTTCTCTGCTCTCCTTCAAAACTTACCTTCAGTCTCACTCTCTTAAGCCCACACTCTCAAGTGTCCATTGCACTGAACTGTTAAACTGTGATGTTAATGAATCTAAAATAATTATTACTTTAAAAAGTTATATATAAGATTGTTAAGCAAAGCAAACTGGAAATTTTAGGCACCTTAGGGGGGAAATATTTTTGACCCAGTAAGAATTTCCATCACTCCTTAAACACTCTACCAATTAATTCCATCTACATATTATAAAGCATGTTTTTCTTTTCCTTACAGTTCCCTCCAATTAAAACCACTCAGAACTTTAACGTCTATAATAATAAAAGCATTATATGCTAATTAGACCAGACACCCTTCTGGACAAAGCAGGAGCTGCTGGGAGGGCCAAGGCAGCCACCTCGGCTGTGAGGGCCAAACCCCTTGCATGAATTTCGTGCATCGGGCCTCTAGTTTTACTTATAAGCAATGGCCCTGACATGTACCAGTTCATGTTTTTCACCAGTTTCCACAGACCTCAGACAGCTTAGTGCATTTGCAAAGTTGCAGACCTCAAAGCTTAATGCCCTGACACTGGGAGGGAAAGGGGCACCAGAAAAAGATAAGCTTAAAATTGAGAAAACCAGAGCAAGTTAATATGATATGCTTACAGTTGAGAAGAGATAAACCAAAGAACTTACATACTTATATGTATAGCCCATAGACACAGACAATAGTGTGGTGAAAGCCATAAATGCATAACCCATGGACACAGACAACAGTGTGGTGAAGGCCTGGGAGGGGCTGAGAGTGGGGATGAGAGGGGCCAGTGGGGGGAAAATAGGGGACATCTGTAATACTGTCAACAATAAAAATATTTCTTAAATGATACACTTATGATCGCTGAAGGTCAAATCAAATCCTCAGTCCCATAAAATATGATGAAGTAATCCTAAGGACATAGGAACAAAATTAACCTAGTTACAAAGAATCAAATGGAATCTACAAACATTAAGATAGATATGTTGGAATTATGAGATTATTGGTTGTCCTTTTTTTCCTTAATATTGTTCCGTTGTTTTTACCATTAAAGTGATTCCTACCCGAAAAGGGGAAAGGGGGTTTTATTAAAAATTGAACCCAGGAAGAATCCAGGGCAGGTGAAGCCACGGAATTGTTGGGAGAGGGGAGGAGGAACAGTGTTAACAGAAATGCAACCTTGACCTCCCTGGATCCAGCTCCCTCCTGTCGAGGTTCCGCAAATGTGATTCAAAAGGAATACACCCTGACCAAACTCCTAATCCACTGACCCACTTTGTTAAGCTCTGGATAGAAGACTTGCCAGGCACCTGTTAAAGACACTTGGCACCACCAAAGAAAAACATTCACATTGTTAAGCACACAACCTGGATTTTCACAATGAAGCTGATTTCAGAGATTCTATCCTGTTGTCATGAGAACACATTTATTTTGTCAGATTATACGTCCTGATTTTCAGCTCAGGAAAATGTGGTTACCATAGATACCTGTTTTTAAAATGGGATGGGGACTAAGTGACTAGGAAAATCCCCTGGATGCTACACCAGCACACCAATAATAAAGAGAAAAAGAAGGTGATTATAAAACAATCCTTAGTCATATATCTTTGTCTCTGTTTCCCATCTCCCAGCTGTGTAGGTTCAGGCTTGGGAGGTGTGGTGTGTAGAGCTAGATCAGACTGAACTGGAAAAATCCAAACAAATAAATAGAGTCCAATGGGGGCTGCAGGCCTCAGTGTCCCAGACAAAGGTTTTCCCAGGGGGTCCTAAGTAATGTAGCAATTTCCTCTGTCTTGGTTCCCCTGGGACTGAAAATGTCCGCTCTCTTTTCCCGGTCGCAATCCACATGGGAATTTCCTGAGTGTCATCCCAGGTTTAGATCTGATTTTCTGTTTAAGTCATTCATATTCACCCAAGTGGAACTGGGACTCCCTATCTCCCCACCCCACCCACCCCACCCCTGCTCTCCTCTTTCCATCAAACTCTACCTTTTGAAAAGAAGATATTGAATTGAAAGAATCTCTGATTGGTGACATGTGTAGAAAGATGAGGAGAAGAGGCTTTCCTTCAATCCTTGTTTACTCTAAGGCCGCCATCTCTCCTTTCCCCCTTCCCACCCCTTCAAGAGGACAATATCCTGGCAAAGTTTGTTTGCGTAGCAGAGGGAGGTTCCCAAGTCTGGTCATGCGTTTGAAATGAAAGCCTGCCCTCATCTGAAAAACAGTCTGTCGTTCAGACGTTAAAATGGCTTTCCTATCTACTGTAAGAGGTCTTTATACAGGACAAGTGGAAACACAAAGGTGTAATTCTGGAGTACCTTCAGGAAGAAAATGAGTTGATTTTTAAGTATTGGATTTTAAAATGTTGGATTCGTAATGTTTTTATATTTAAGGTAAACTTGATAAATATTTACATCTAAAACATTATCGTTTTGCAAACTATCTTTTTAGATATCTAATCTTTGTTAAGATGAAAGATATTAGAAACTAGATATGGAGACTGTGAAGGAGGTGAAGAAAATTCAAGAATAGGAAGCAAGAAAACTCAAGAATGAAATCCTTACTTGCTCACTCCCTACATAACCTTATTAAAATACAGACATAAAGTCACTGGCTTAACTTTCCTCCTCGGTTTGGGTTATCTAAGATGATCTCATAATATTTAAATTATATTTCACCTAAGATGAGATAATGCAGAAATGTACAGTAACATTCTGCATTGCTACATCCTCTTCCCATCTGTACAGCATCCTCAAAGGCCAAGGATCTACTCTTTGTCCAATGAAAAGATAATCAAATCAAGCCTCATAATTCACATGCTTGTACACATACAGGATGAGTTGGTGGAAGATTATTTTGCTGAAAAACACTTGCCTTTTCTCCCCACACCTACATTTCAAGGAAATAACAATAAAACCTAAATATGTATATGTTTGTGATCATTCTAATAATTCCTGCCTAGACTGAAAGTTATCTTTACTTTCATAAATCATGTTTAATATGAAACACACATTAAGAGTGAAATATGATTAGAAAGCAACAAGTCTAAAATAATTAAGAGAACAGGCATGCAAAAATAGAAGTCTAATATCAAACAGTCTTATCTAATTAAACCAAGACTTTTATGTACGTAAAAATCTGTATTGAAGATGAACTTTTATTTACCTACTGTTAGTTGTTTAACATAATTGAAAGTAAGACAAAACTATGAAAGGGTAATCCTTAAAAAAGATTCTACAGGCTAATGTATGAATTCTTCAGATGGCCTAAATCAGTGATGTGCCCCTTGCTGATTTCATTTTCCCTTTCCTGCCTCCCCACCCATCCTCCTTAGTTCTAGCACAGACTTCCTTCCACTTGTTTGTTTATGTCTTTCTCCCTCTGTGAGGAATAATAACCAATATTTACTGAGTGTTTACTATGTGCCAGGAGTTTTCTAAGCATTTTACATGTGTTAAGCCACTTCATTGTCATAACAACCCTGTGGGGTTGGTACCCTTCTTAACTCCTTTTTACAAATGAGGAAACTGAGGCACAGAGCGGTTACATGCCACGCCTAAGAAGACATAGCTCATGCTCCTTGGCTGAGGGTAGGAACCACATTTACTTTGCCTCCATATCCCTGGGCCGAATACATAGTGGGCCCGGTCGAGTCTGTGAGGGAGGAAGGAGTATGTTTTACTGCCCTTGTGGTGATGCGTTTGGCCTTGCCTGTTTCAGGTTTCATGACCTACATCGTGGAGCCACTCTTCCAGGAATGGGCCCGTTTCACCGGAAACAGTGCCCTGTCTGAGAACATGCTAAGCCATCTTGCACACAACAAAGCCCAGTGGAAGAGCCTGCTGCCCAAGCAACACAGAAGCAGTGGTGGTGGCTGTGCTGGTGGCAGCCCAGACCACACAGACCACGGGACTGAGAATGAGGAGCAGACTGTGACTGAAGGCATCGCCCCCTAGTGCAAGCCAGGCCTGCCCCCTGCTCTGCACACAGAGAATGAGAACCGCCTTGAGCAGAGACCTCCTGAGAGGGGAGTTCTAGGGGTTCTTGACCATTAACCCAGCCACTCTCTGGGTTTCATCCTGGGGCTCTTTGGAATGCCACCTTGCTCCCACTCACCTGCCTCCCCTCCTTCTTCCAAGTGTACAGAAGCCATTCATCACCTCAGCATTAGCTGCCGAAATGAGCAACTCCATTCAGTAACATGGGAGCCGAGTCCAGGGGCAGGCCTGCCCCACACGGAGAAGACTGGGAGAAAGAAAGAGGTGCTACTGCCATGTCCCCACGGCCCTGGGTCACACTGTGACAGGCAGCAGTTCCTACGTCCAGAGCATTTTAGCATTTGCCATCTGACTGCTGATCTGCATGACAAAAACACCAGCATATTTGGAACTCCAAGGATATTGGTCTTAAGTGCAAGAGCACAGATGAGAGCATGAGAGAAAGGACCTTCTATTTTAATAATAATTATTATTATCAAATAATAATAAATCTTTTTAACTTTTATATTTTATGCACTAGACAATGGATCTAAAACTTTGGACTAAGACCCAAACTTGAACAGGGGGTTCATCGTTTTGTTACTGACTTTATGCCACTTTGGGTCAGAGATTTGGCATCTTCTCAATTTAAGAATCCACGTTTCCTATCCGATCTGAGGGGAAGGTGCTGTACAGTTCATTCCTTTGCACCATTAGCCAATCTATCTTTTATCAATAACTCAGTTTCAATGACATGTTTATATTCACCACATGTACATTTTCTGTAAATACCAAGCGCTACTGATTCCCATGCCAAAATACATGAGTATTATGGGATTGCTACCTGTATAAACAATGGCACTGTGAACAGAATCCTGTTAGTTTTAATACAAGAGAATGCATTTGTAAATATGGTATAGAGTTTATTAATATACTATTGTTTGCAGATAAAGGCCTTAACTTTAAACATCTTTCATCTTCTGAAAGCTGCCCAACTTCAGTCCTCACAGAAGTCCTTCTGAACTGCCTTCCCATCCCCATCTTTCTGCATCCCAGCTAAGGTCTTCAGTCCTCACAGAAGTCCTTCTGAACTGCCTTCCCATCCCCATCTTTCTGCATCCCAGCTAAGGTCACAAATCAAACCCAATAAAGTCTTGGAGGAAAGATTCTGGAAACTTCACGTGCATTCCACTTGAGACCACAGCGTTTGATCTGTGGCACCAAGCATCATTTCCTCAGATTCACAAGACCCTTCGGCAAGCCTGAAGTCACTTTTCAACGCAGCGATGTTGCACATTCTGTCCCCCAAGCCCGCTGATCAGCTTGTGTTAATGTGACTCTTGTCATGGAACATGGCAGTGGGTCAGCCTTGCAGGAGACATGGCAGGTCTCAGGAGTCTCTATGGCCCTGTCACCTAAGCGTCAGGGAATCCCCTGCCCCCCTCCCACCCTCCCGTCCATGACTGTAGTACCAAAGCACCTTTGGTTAATGGTTGGCGTGCACTTCTTTGGTGTTCATCGTAACTGGATTTTTCTTTTTCCGTAATTTCATGTGAGTAGCTGCCCACCTGTTTAGCTGAAGATGGGTGACGTTATTTAAGAAGAGAACATATTTCCATTTTTCTCACAGAATTTACCTTCCTGGCAGGCATTATGCTGAATCATGGCTGTCACTAGCAGAATCAGCTGGGAATTTTGTGGCCATTTTTCTTCTGCAAACACTTGGCTGAAAATCAGCTTGTGACAGTCTTCTCTAGTCGGCTAACCTTTGTGCATTGAACCTTCTGTTTAGAAGCCCCCGCATCACTAATGTTAGGTGAAAATCAGCACTGCCCTTTCTCTTTACCTTAAACGGGGTGGTGGTGGCAGGTGACTTTATGATAGTGTCTGCCGCTATCCAGCTGTTTCACAATAGAACGCCAGTTAACTCTCATTTCCTACGTGCAGCTTTCATTTCTCCTAACACACAGATGAAATGTTGGAAACTTGACGGGACTGTAAGAAGTTCCTGCAGAGAGACGAAGGCTTGCGGAGTTAAGGTTTAGGAAGATTTGGGAACGTTGGTTATAGTTTTATTAAATATGGAGAGATTGTCAGATGGTAGTAAAGAAAGCATGAAAAACTCATGAAATGGATGGATTTGATAAGTTGAAGTAGTTGGTAGGGGTAAGAAGGGAAGTTGTGGAAACTTAACACTAACTTTGTTTTTTTTCTGTAATAACTATGAACTGACAGAGGATTCTTTAGTGCTGTAATACTCGGAAGCTCTCAGCTTGGTAGGGCCCCAAAAGGGAAGATGTTGAATGTATTCCTGCTTCCAAACCTCACTTATGTTGGTTTGATGATGCAGAAAGGGCTTTTGAGTCGTCTATTTTTAATGTCCATGAGATCAAAGCAAGGACAGCAGTTACTGGGGACAATACAGTAGAGATTAAAAAGAAAAGGCTATTTTAGCTCTACCTTGACTTTAGGAAATGGACTTTGTTTAAATTATATTTATATTGTAACTTAAATAAATAATATTAGGGGCGTTTTTACTAGTTCCAACTTTATAGGGCCAAAGTATTTATGCTACAATTAGGTCTTAAAGAAAAAGTCACAGAGAAAACTACCAAATGTCCAGGGGTTAAGCCTATGAAGCAGCTACTGGTGCAATAAAAATCAGAAGTAAAATGAGACATGATGCATTTGTGGCCTCCGTTCAGTCATCTGGAGATTTCTTGAGTTCTTTATTTTTAGGCAAAACAAGAGAATGTGAAAACATTTTTTTCTTGCCTACCAGTAGCTCTCTTGCAATATTTCAGTGGAAGGAGTCCAGTTACTAGTCAAGACACAGCTGCAGATCATCCATGGACCTTGTCTTCACATTCTTCTTCTGGTCCATGGGCCACCAATAGCTGACTTGACTTTAATTCTTTCATTGCTTGAGAAGAAAGGGTCAAAGGGCTATTTTTAGTAAGCAAGGTAAAGTTGAAATCAAATTAAAAGAGAGAAAGAGAATATATAACACTGCCAGGCCTGGTAGGCAAAGCCTGCTTTTCCTTGTAACAGCCTCTGTGAATAGTTAGAACCTTGTTCATGAAACCCTGACCCACCCATAGCCCCTGCGAGGCTGAGTCAAGATCCCAGTTTCTAGTGCTTAAGGCTTCCCGCAAGGGGACTCAGAGCACATCCTGCAACACTGTCCTTATATAGTGCTTCCTACAAAACGCAGACCTGTTTTGTAACCTTTTCTCATGTAGAATCGGATATGCTCATTGATTTGAAAATTGGTTATGAGCTTGTATCTCACTGTATTTCTTACGCTTTGTTCTTTTAAGCAAACCCTTAAAATTGTGTTGTTATGTGTACACAAGTAAGTTTTGGGGGGGAAAAAATAAACACCTTGTGAGTTTTTGCTCAAAATGTGGCCTAAATATCCATTGGCATGTCTAGATAAACAATCAAAATAAAGATAATTTCTTAAAAATATAAAAACATGCTAATATCCTGATTCTCACCAAGTAACATGTTACCAGCTATCCAATTGGATTCAACAAAAAGGACCCCGTGCTAAGTAGAGGAAACGTTCAAGAAAAAGAGCACAGATGCAGATATGGGCCATGAGACTCCTTCCACAGGGGGTTGCAGAAATAGCCATGTCCTTAAAGGCATCACCAGCCAGTTCATCCCAAGTTAGGGAAACAGGGCCACCATTCAGCTCTACCTTTCCCCTGAATCCTGATATTTTTCTAATCCACATTTGTAAAACTCATATATGAGAGAGAATGGAATCCAATGTTTTATGTGGGGAAAAGGTAACAGACTCAATTCAAAAATTACGTGTTCAAAATATGGTCTTGCATATCAGGATTGGAAGCCACCAAGTAAATAGAACAGTTCAGGCGGGATGACTGAGTGTCCCACATTTATCTAGAAATAGAGGAGAACAAAACACAACCCTTGTTTCCCAGAAATGCCCTCCTCTCCTTATAACCCATGTCCATTATGTTAAGATTGGTATGCAGAATCTCATTGATTTCTTAATGCCTCCCATGTCTGAAGGCAACGCCCCTTATCCTTTATGCACGTTCTATGTCACAAAATCAAAATAAGACCCCAGTGTAAAGATCCCAAGTAAAGGGCAGACATGACTTAAATGTACCTGGAAACTTAGCTGACACATTGTCAAACAGGCCACATCAATGTGAGCAGTTGGATTCCAATGCAACAGATATTGATTGAGGATCTACTATGTGCCAGAGACTGTGCCAGACACTTGTGATCTAAAAAGACCCCGCCCCTCCAGGAGCATGCAGACTTGTAGAGAGACTGGCATTGCCAGTAAGCACTTCCTACGGGATTCATAGACCGTCTGTGAGGGCTCAACCGCATCCAAAGCTCTCCCCTGCGGTACATCATGGAGCACAGGTAAGCTTTGGAGACTAAAGTGGGTCCCCATCTTGGTTCTGTCACTAACCTACTCTGTGACTTCAGGAAAGTTACTGAACCTCTATAAAATTATCTCTAGACGATAATATCTTTATCATATTGTTGTGACAAAGAAAAGAGATTGGGTACAAAAAGCACCAAGCACTGCCTGAGACGTGGTAGGCTTTCCAGAGTTTCAAGAAGGTTGGCAAATAGCTATTAACACCTGGTTGAGAATGTGGAGAATATATGGGGGACATTTGGTAAAGAAATGCTGGTATTCTTACCATTTGCAACAGCATGGATGGAACTGGAGAGCATTATGCTAAGCAAAATAAGCCAGTCAGAGAAAGATAAATATCACATGATCTCACTCATTTGTGGAATATAATGAACAACATAAACTGATGAACAAAAACAGATCCAGAGACAGAGAAGCATCAATCAGACCGTCAAACCTCAGAGGGAGGGTAGGGGAGGGTGGGGGTAAGGGGGAGAGATCAACCAAAGGACTTGTATGCATGCATATAAGCTTAACCAATGGACACAGACAACAGGGGTGTGAGGGCATGAGTGAGGGAAAATGTGGGGGGATGGGGGGTAATGGGGGGATAAGGATACATATGTAATACCTTAATCAATAAAGAAAAAAAAGAAATGCTGGTGACTTTACATTAGGAAATCAAGCTCATGTTTACAGTTTTTCAACAGATTGGTTAATTTACAACTTATTTATTGCAAGATTGGGTAAAAGAATTAACCCTTCATGTCGTCACTCAAAAGAAAGCTCTTCCTCAGCTACAGCCCGCTTTTCTGTTTGGTCCTCTATAGTCAAGAGTAGAAGATAGATAGTGTATCTTGCTTGCAGTTCTGTCAGAAATTTCTGGGAAGGAAACAGTGGGCAAAAAAGAGAGAGAGAATCATTTCTCTTCCTCGTACCCATGCCTCCAAAGCCCTCATTCTGGCTGGGGATAACAACTCTGGTCCTCTGTGTCAGACCCTGAACCTTTTCTGGGCTTGCACAGGCTCGGAGGGAGCAGGTGGATTGGTGCCTCTGGGATGCACATGGCACACACACACACACACACACACACACACACACACACACACTGTCCTAGGGCAGAACAGAGAGCAGAGGGCTTCTTACCATCCCATCAGAGAAGATAGGAGACTCAGTCCTGCCTCCATGGGAATGTAATAGACAACCAAACAAGGAGCTTTTCACTATGAAACTGTCCATAATGGGCTTTTCTTTTTTTCCCACTTAAGCCAGAGAGATGATTGGAACAATTTTAAGTTTTAGCTGGTATGGTTTGAAAATTGCCTGTCTTGATCATCTAAGCAATGACGTATTTTCTTATTCAATTGCCTGAAATGCTTTAAATTCTAATATTCCAAGGGCTGATTTATTCTTCAGTAATTTTTCCCCATTTAAGGACGCAATATGGTAGAGGTTTAAAAGTGTGGCTTTGGAGTCAAACTGAGAAGAATTCAAATCACTGTTATCATTTGCTATTTAACCCCAAGTAGTTAATTTAATCTTTCTGAGCCTCCGTTTCCTCCTGTATAAAGTGAGAGTGACACCTACCTCCCAGAGTGAGGTCAACATTTGAGACATACATAACATATAGTTTCTAGCTGAAGGAGTGTACTCAACAAATGTAAATGTCTATATATTTTAAAGAAAAAAATCTACAAAGTGGGAGTTGGGATACATCTTTTGCTTTCTCTAGGTTGTACAATTTTTGTGCAAAAGGAAACACAAGACCAATTAATAGACACTGAACATGATTATAACTACAGGTGACCAACATGACTGTAAAATAATCCTTATAATATAGAAAAAATGTTATAAAAATGTATTATAGAAGATGAAAGTGTTCCTATGGAACTAAATACCTAAGACCAGAGAAAATAAGGAGCTATCTTCTTTTTTTAATATGTTTTTATTGATTTTAGAGAGGAAGGGAGGGGGAAAGAGAGAGAGAAACATCAACATTGATAGGCCGCCTCCTGCACATCCCCTACTGGACTGTAACAGCCCATCATGGACTGTTTCATAGCAAACAGCTCCTTGTTCACTCGTCTGTTACATTCTCATGGAGGCAGGACTGAGTCTGCTGCAGTCTTTCCGCCGCTAGGGTTCAGTTATCTGGAGAAGGGGCTGCGTATAAATGGATAAATTAGACATGAAATATAAATTTGGAAGGCATGTTGGGGGAGCCAGGGGAGGCTTAGCTCTAGTGACTAAGCTCTCTGAATGTCCGGACCCACGGCTTTTTATTCACACGTTTTGCCCTTTAGCAAAGCAGATATACATATCCAAGGTAAAGTCCAGGTAAACAATAATGGACCATCAGGTTAGGGGAATTGCCTTCGGCTGTTCCAGCAGCAGGTAATAACATGCAGATTTTCAGCCCTGCTGAATATGTCCATTCAACCTTTTGAGGACTTCTCGAATTTATTATGACCTGCTGGACTTAGCCTCCAGCAGTCTCCTCTCTTCTCTGATGGGATGTTAAGAAGTGCCCTACTCTTCTAAGTGATGGGGATCGAGCCCACAACCCAGGCCTGTGCCCTGACTGGGAATTGAACATAACCTCCTGGTTCGTGGGTTGGTGCTCAACCACTGAGCACCTGGGCCAGGCAGGAACTGTCTTTTTTTATGTTAAAGTAAATACTCCTCAGTCAGCCAGAGTGAACCAACCTGTTTAATCTACTCCTTCCCTAGAGTCCATGACAATACAACCCAGGCTAGAGAGAAGGTTTACCTAATAAATAAAACTTGATGGTTGTGAATTCCACTCACATCCTACAATCCTCTGATGTTTCCAGTGGCCCTTCCTCTCATAACTTCAGATCCTTTCTGGATACTGACAGCAGAGGCAGAGAAATACAGGGTAGTCTCTGTAAATAGATGACCCTACAATCTAGTTCACTCTTCTAAGCTAACATTTTCTATGCCGGGCTGGGGTCTCTTCTCCACGTCCTGCACGGAGAGAGAGACGTGAACCGGTTGGTTTAAGTTAGGAGGTGCTTTTGGGATTAAGGAAAAATGAATTGGACAGACACAAAAATAGATTAAAGGCTTGGGCTGGGTGTGGCATCTGCCCTCTCATGGAGGGACAGACAGAGAGAGCCAGCACCGGAAGCAGTTTTATTTATACTCGAATTACAGGAAGTTACATCACATCTGGGTGGGCCTTGAGCTCCTGGCGACATCACGAGATCCATCCCCTTAACACTGGGCGGGAAAGTCAGACTGAGTGGCGTCCAATCTTTTGACTGGTCCTGCCCTCAGGGCATAGCTCTGCCTTCACTCTGAGTTTCAGTTGAAGTAATTAAACCGAGTGTTTACTAACGGCCCTCAGCAATTTTCAATATTGCTTTAAAATGTGACAAAGATATTCTTTAAGTGTTCCCTGAAGAAAAAATGGCTTCAAACCCAAAGAGTTTGAGAAACAATGGGTTAAAGACACAGGTTCTCTCCTGCAGCCTCTGTGTGCTAATGGAGAGGATGGGAGTGATCTCATTTGTTTGGATCTAATTGTGGTTTCACATCACAAAGGCCTCCTTGACCACACCCCATTCATCATTTATCACATTACCTCCCCATTTATCATTTGCCTTAATATTGCTAGTGACTACTAGTAATTTATTTTTATTGATATATATTGTGTGTTCTACCCAATGTGAGATGTAATATAACAACTGTGGTTAATTCACCTGAGTTTGTGGCTTGATTTTACTACTTACCAGGTGTCTGACCTTGGGCAAGTTTCCAAACATTTTTTGCCTCAGTTTCTTCATTGGTAAAATGATGATAAAAATATCACCTATTTCATAGAGTAGCTAAAGATTAAAAGAGTTTGTGCTTGTAAAGCACTTTGAATGGTACCTGACACATAGAAATCACTCAATAAGTGTTGGCAAAAGCCATCTCCTTCTCTTTCACCTGTGCACAGCTCTCATAGACCTGATCTGTAAGCTCCTTGATAACAGGAATAACTCCTTGGTAACAGGAATAACTACCTAATAAATATAGTCTCCATAGCGTAGCA